ATTTCAAGTGCAAGACACTTGGGATTGACAGGAATCAGCCAGGCACATCAACTACCTCAAGCTTCTGGCGATTTTCAAAGCTCTTCAATCATTTGAGGACACTGTACGGCGGCACGTAGTGCAGGTCGCATCAGACAAGATGGTCGCTGTGTTCTATGTGAACAAGCAGGGGGGAACGAAATCCGTGCCCCTAGCTCGATTGTTGATGAAGATTTGTGACTGGTGCATTCCAAGAAACAACCCTTCTGGCGGTTCACCTCACTGGTACTGACAACGAGGAAGTAGACGTTTTGAGCAGGCAAATGTCAATGACCCATGAGTGGGAGTTGGATCGACAAGTTTGCAATCAACTTTTTTGACGCTGGGGACATCCAGACATGGACTTGTTTGCTACCCATGAGAACAGGGTATGCGAAGCGTTCTGTTCCAGGGTGGGCGTCGGACTGGGATCAATGGGGGACACCCTCATGGTTCTGTGGTCTAACATCAACTTTTACGCTTTCCCTCCGATTCCTCTGATTACGAAGGTCATAGCAAAGATCATCCATGACAACGCCACGGGTATTCTGATCACACCCTGGTGGCCCTGTCAAGCGTGCTTCTCCACCCTCCTCCGTCTGTCCAACAACAACTTTCTCTGTCTACCATCCATGCCTCATCTGATAACACAACAGGATGGAGCTGTTCGTCATCCAGATTTAATTTCATTGAGCCTCACAGCTTGATGAATCCAATGACCCATGCTACCGACTCGGTATCGACAGCGACCCATTCGCCTCGACTTTCCAGCTACAAAACTGAGACACCATTCGTTCGCTCAGAAGAGACAGACTTTGCCTTGGGATTGAATTCTCTCGATCCAGATATACAACACATTCTCGAATCTGCTCTAAGACCATCAATGTGCAGATCCTATGCAGCGAAGTAGCGTCAGTTCTCCTCTTTTGCAGAGTCCAACTCGTTTGCTTCTCTGTCGGCATCTGTTGAAAACATCTTGCAGTTCCTTTTTGAGCTGCATCGCTCGGAACTTAAACCTTCATATATAAAGGTTTACACAGCGGCGATCTCTCATTACCGTGGAGTGATCCAAGGTTCGTCAGTTTTCTCACAACCAATCATTAGAAGATTCATCAAAGGGCTGCAGAATCTTCAACCAACAATTCATCCTGTTATGCTGACTTGGAGTCTCTCCGTTGTACTTCAGGCTCTCACCAGAGCCCCATTCGAACCTCTGGCAACTATTGACTTACATCTCTTGCCTTAGAAGACTGCCTTCCTCGTAGCTGTTACTTTGGCCCGGAGAGCTAGTGAACTTCGTGCGTTCCGAGTAGATCCTTCTTATTTGAGCTTCCATAAGGAGAAGGTGGTTCTTCGTATGGAACTGACGTTTTTGCCTAAAGTGGCCATGCCGTTTCACATTAATCAGGACATTGTTTTCCCTGCTTTCTTTCCATCGCCATCGAACCTGATTGAAAGGTCCCTACATACACTTGATGTACGTCGTTGCTTAGCCTTTTATAGATCACGTGCGGAATCCTTTCGGCAGTCTAATCATCTTTTTGTGCAGTATTCAGAGCAGGACAAGGGCTCTCCTATAACTTCACAGAGACTTTCAAAATGGATTGTGCAAACGATAGTGCTGGCATACCAACTTGCCAAGATGGACTTACTTGTTGTTCCAAGGGGTCACTTCACCAGAGAAGTAGCAGCTTCTTCTGCCTTTGCTGCGGGAATTCCAGTACAGGACATATGCAAAGCTGCAATTTGGGCTGCCCCGTGCACTTTTGCCAGGCATTATCGCCTTGATGTGCGTGCCAGACAGCATTGCTCCTTCAGTAGAGCAGTTCTCTCCACCATTCTTCAATGATGACACTGTCCTCCTCCGATTGTGGTAAGCTTGTTAATCATCCATATGTGTGATGCACAGAGGCCATGATGAAGAAAGGCAGGTTGCTTACCTATGACTGTTGTTCTTCGAGTGACCATCTGTGCATTCACAAAACTGATATATGCCGGCCCCGCTCGGTGTCAGTGAGTGGATCTTCTGTCGGTACCATGTTTCATTTGACTGTCATGGTCCCTGACGAATTCAATGCTATATATCCCTCTTCCAAGGGGAGGTGAACGTTCGGTCTTCTAAAGACTGAGAAAATGGCGGACACTCTGCTCTATTTATAGCATTGTGGGGGAGGGGAGCAGAGTTTCCCGCCAAAAACCGTTAGCTTTGCAATCTTTCCGGCCTTAGGCACTGCGCAGGCGCAGTACCCATATGTGTGATGCACATATGGCCACTCGAAAAATGACAGTTACAGGTAAGCAACCTGCCTTTTCTGTTAGTGCACCCTCATTTGTGCTAGTGGAATTATGCTACTGCATGAAACCTGTAGGGATCAAGAGCTGATGCACATTAGCACCAAACTCAGTTCTTTGAATGCAAACTCGGATATAGCCATAAGAGCTTTATCTACAAACAAGCGGGAGATCCCAAAGTTTACAGAAGTTCAAATAATTTTTTAAGACTTAAGGAGAATGATTTAGATCTTCCAGATGATTACTGCGGAGCCTTTCTTGACAATGGTCTTCCCCCCACAAAAGTAGTACAATAGGCTGCCACCAATTAGGTTGAATCATTTGATGCATCTTTGCCTGTCCAACCATTTGGAGTATTCTACACCTTATTTATTATTTATTTATTTAGAATATTTATATGCCATCCTTTTGCAGGGACTCAGGATGGCTTACATAAATAAATAAAAAGAGTAGAATAAAACATAATACAAATAAATTCCAGATCCACCCTGGCTGCAGATTAAAACATATATAGCTAATATTAAAAGTTATTAAAATATTGTTGAAATAAAAAGGTCTTAGCCTGGCACCGAAAAACAAATAACGACCTCTCTGGGGAGCGCATTCCATAGGCGGGATGCCACCGCAGAGAAAGCCCTCCTCCGGGTACTTTGCCTCCCAATGTCTTTCATGGAGGGTTCCCGGAGGAGGGCCTCTGCTACCGATCTCAGGGAGCGGGAGGGCAAATATGGAATACCTTGTGGTCAAGGAGTCCTCCCTTCAGCCTAGTTCTAGAAGAAAATGAAAAGAAAGATGCATTGAATTTTCTTGCCAAAGCCCTGACACTCAAGAGTTAATAAAAACATTGTGAAAAGTGCTTAAGACACTGGCAGTAGGTTTGTTACTGTACTGTACTGCCAATAAGGAAGATTTGTGAAGAAGTTTCCTTTTAAATCAATGAAAGCACAATGCACAAATATAAAAAGGAGTTTATTTTTGGAATGCAGGAGGAAACAAGGGAAAGCAGCAATTATGCATGTGGGCATGCTCACACACACAACCATTCACACAAATATGTACACACATTTTGCACAGAGAGAGAAGAAAAGAGATTTCTAAAAAAAAATTAAAATCTAACTTAGCTGTGTACATTTTGTCTGCTTTAGAATCTTGGCTTTGAGAATATATGAAATGTTCCTTGCAAAGAGAATGGTATGAGAGAAAGCCTCTTGGCTTCTTGATTAAATGTTATAAGACAACAAGGAGTGAGCAAACACATTTATGGAAATCTGAGTACAGTAAAAGCTATCCATTTAGCAGTAGTTGACTGCTATTCTGATCGATAATGCAGTGCTTTCCATTTCTGATTTCTGTGGTCTAGCCAGAAAAGCAGAAAATTGCTCAATGTTTGGCCACCTTCCTTATGACCCTACACTTGAATTATGAAAGAGCTGGCTAGTTCCAGATGAACACTACACAAAATGAGCTTAATACTTGGTTTTTCTGCATGATGCCAGCTTTAGGAATTCTCTAGAGGGCACTGCTTAACTACATAAGAAGGTGTCTTTTTTTTTTCTTCAGTTTACTTGTTGCCTTTCACTGCTTTGGGCCAGTCATTCACCCTTAGCCTAAGCTACCTCACAGGGGGTCGTTGTTATTAAAATGGAGCTATGTCTGCTTCCTCACAAGAGGAAAAAAAATGCATTATATAAATCAATGACGTGGGATACATGTAAAGTTGTGAAACTGGAGAAATCTTATTTTTAAATGCAAACAAATGGGGACCTGCTGGAAAATTGGGGGCAGGAATCTTTCCTTCACATATTCCACACATAGAGGGGCATGCATAAATATATGATAAGTGTACCTCACAAAACACTTGGAATCATTCCTTTCTCATTCTCCCTACCCTTATGTAGTGGGTGAGGGCACAGAGTGGCAACAGACCTGGGAGGAGGCTGGTCTGGTGTGTAAAGCATGCAAACTATTGCTTTAGCTCCTGCAAGTTCAACGCTATTTCTCTCTTGCACATTTTGGAGTAGGGCTCCTTCCACAATTCTGAAGGAGACGATAGCATTGGGTAGGCTTGAAGGAACACTGCTGTACTTCTACCCTTTAGCCTAAGCTTACTGCCCTGTTTCTGCTGTTTGTACCATGGCTTAGTTGAGTACTCTGCCAAGAACTTTTTCTGAACAAAGTAATAGTAGTGGACCGAGCAACAGACAAGTAAGCCTTCACTCTTCTTCCTCTGCTCATACCTGAAGTTGCTGAGGGAAAGTGTACATCACAATCAAATAGGGAAGTTGCTGAGGGAAAGTGTACATCACAATCAAATTGTCTTCTCTGGCAATTTGAGGTAGAATCTACATGCTGCCTTGACTGTTGGAATCCTCATTGATACAGACCCTCACCAATGCAGTGGAACACCTCACAATATAGATTGTGAGGTGCATGTAGTTACAGTGAGGAAACATCATTGTCTAATGATCTACACTTACAACAGTAACAATTTAACCTGATGTTTTATAATACTGGATTAATGTTATCTTGATGGAATATTGGTTTTTAGGAAAATTAGAGGCATATTGGCTCATTATTTACCAATGTTTCCCTCCTGCTTTATCCCCCTTGTTCTTCCACTGACTGATTGGCTAATTGTGCATGTTTGACCCAGTGTTCTACTCCTGTGCCTGTCCTGTCTTTGCCCACAGATCTACAAAGAGCAATTGAACACCAGGGTTGTTTTGGTTGCTGTTGAAACCTGGTCAGACAGAGATCGTATAAATGTTCGTCCTGACCCAAGGCAGATGCTTCATGATTTTTCCAAATATCGACAGCATTTCATCAGACAGCATGCGGATGCTGTACACCTTCTGTCGTATGTATTGTGATCTGTTTTTCATGTAGTTTTATCCTTCATGCTCTCATTTTTGTTTTTTTATTTTGGTTTATTCATTGTGGTATAAGTAGATACTTTGCTGATGTTAAGGAGTGAACCTCTAGCCCTTAGACATCATCTGAGGGGTCATAAGGTCATTTGGATCCCCAACCCTGACTTTGGAGCTAGGAATTGGAGCTCCTCTCCTGCCCCCTTGAAGCCAGTGTGGAAAGAACCATGCTGACTGTGATGGAGTAGGGGTGATCTCAGAGGAGGGGTAAAGTAGGCAGGGTTGCAGAGGGGGAGTGGGGCTGCCCAAGTAAGACATAATCTGATAGCACCCCAGTCTCCTTCCCTTAATCTCCAAGATGTTCCTTGTTAAATGGCTGAAAATCAAGATACTCCTGTCAGATATAGCTGAAAATGTCTGTGTAGCAGAAATGCAGAGTGGAGAGAAGACAATCACTTTTACCATTCCCCCTGCTCTGTGTGGAACGCCTGCAATCCTCCAAGTTCAGAGACTTAGAGGCATCTTGATTTGATTGTTTCCTTAGTTATTTCATTACAGTAATTATAAAAATACAAAGAAGTATTAGAGCTAAACTTCAGAATGTAGTAATCTTCTGGATTTATTTTATTTAAAGAGATTATTTATGAATCTCTTTAAAGAGATTTTAAAGGAGATATCAGGAAATAATTCTGAAGGTGCAAGATGATACTGAGTTTTGATGGTCTGCACCATGGGTCCTCAAACTGTTGCCTGCGGGACGGATCCGGCCCGCCATGGCCATCCATCCGGCCTGTGCTGCTGTTCACCGCCCACGCGTGTGCTAGCTGCACGGGCTGGAGGTGGTGGCTTGCTCACTTGGAGATGGTTTTGGACTCGTTGGGAGATCTCCCAGCAAGTTCAAAACCATCTCTGAGCGAGCAAGCCACCGCCTGCCTCCCCTGAGCATGTACACTTGCCTCTGCCTTGCAGTTCGGGCTGGAGGCAGTGGCTTGCTCTCTCAGAGATGATTTTGAACTCACTGGGAAATCTCTGAACTGAGCGAGCTGCTGCCGCACACGCCCAATGCCACCTTGTGTGCACCCAACAACGCCTCACCAGCCCACGTGCCCAGCCCGCCCCCACTGGCCCATGTGTGTAGCCGCCACCTTTCTGCTGGCCCCCTATTGAAAAAGTTTGAGGACCTCTGGTCTACACTGTGTAGCCAGAGGTCCGGAGACAAGGATCAGCAAATTGGGTCTGTGGTTAAATCTGAGTACATTTGTCTAGCAATTATCTCTGTGATTTCCTTCATCCCCATATGTCAATGTTTACCCCTTGGCATCCTTTTTGGGCCTCTCCCTTTTTCTTCCCTATACTCTCTCCTGAGGGCAAGACTCACAAAGGGGAATCCCTGTGTTATTTCCAATCAGAGAGAAGTTTGTGAGTCTCCTGCACCACATTCAGCACTAATGTCCTGATTGGAGCCCAGTCAATACAGGAAGGAGCAAGGCTCTGTTGAGTCACTTCCTGTGCCAGGTGGTATGGGAGTGGTACAGGAAGGAACAGTGCAAAGTAGCTCAGGTTTGTAGAAGCCAGATCCTGCAAGCCCCAGCCCCCTTTTTCTGTCCAGAGGGAGCTATGGAGGAAAATTATTTCTGAAAAATGGTTTTTGAATACAAGTGAGTGGGATGGGAAGATGACATCATGGGACAGGAGAATGGCTTTGGGAGTGAGGCCCCACCCCTCTGATTTCATTTGGCCTACAAGCTTATTCTGTGGGAGTGCTCCAGACCCTAAACCAAAAGTGGTTTCCTTCTCTTGAACGAAATCAACTATGTATGGAAATGGAGAGTAAGTATTAGTACAAATATGGAACATTTAAGATTGCATGTTTGAAGAACAGCAAAAAGTGCAAAGATAGTAAAATGCAAGGATGAATGTTGTGAATGTTCACAATGTGACATATGAATTTTGAGCTATACAGACTTGTCCTAAGATTTGATATACTTAAAAAGAGAAAAATTCTGGGACAGCGCATAGCATTTATCCTAATCAGCAATCAGTTTCAATCTAAAGATGATAGTAGAATTATTTTTCAAACTAAGTAATAGCTGTGCTTTATTACTAATTTGAAACAGTGCTTTATAGTTCTTCAGAAGTGATTACAAGTAACCAAAGAAATGACTTAATAAAATCATAGTTCATTAGAGCCATGCCTACTGCCAATATGCCACCCCATTCAATTTTCTCCATGCTAGAAGAAACAGTACTGACCTACAGGGTCTAGCAATCCATCTTGTTATAAAAAAGCTTTGTACAATAGTATAACTGTAGCAGAAATAAAAGTATCGCTAGTGACTGTTAGTATAAAACTCTTAACTTCACATTTTCTTTTTTCTTTGTGTGTGCTATAGGATGGGGGGAGGGGTTGGGCTATAAAACCCACAGCCAATAGAGAAGCATCCTGGTAGCAAAGCAAAGCAAAGCATATAAGATGCCTATTGCACAGCCTGACAGTATTTGCCTCTAGTGGTAAGAATCCTATATTGCAGAGAAAAGAAGTATACACAGGAAGGCTAGTGGTCTAAGGTTTGAGGCAATCTGGGTTTGTGTGGGAAGGCATTATTCCTTTTCTTTCAAAATGCTATATCCTAATCCCTGCATTGCAAATCAGAAGCTCTTTAGAGGAATCCATTCCATATCAGAGTAGGGGAATAGAAGCCATTGACTCTTGCCATAGAATCAGTTTTGAAGATTTCCATATGTATGGGCATCAAATGAGCATGAATTGGCATATCTTATAGAGATCTTTCAAGCATTTGCAGGTTTGCTGAATGGGAAAATCTTTGGTTTACTGCTCTGCAGTGTTAGTGAATACCCTTGAATAGGTTTCCCCTTCCATTTGTCCTGACTGTGCTGATTAGGTTTTTGCTGGGGAGAAACCTACTTCCAGGTTTGTTCCTAACTAGCTCTCCTGCTGGTCCTCTTCAGCATTCTGTTAATCATTCTTTTGCTTCACAACCTGTTATCTTCATCTTTCATTTTACTTGGTTTTGAGAGGGAGCATTGCTACCAAAATCAAACAAAAGGGTGGGGGGAGGGAGCTCCTATCTTTGCAGCTGCACTGCCTGATTGCCAGTGCATGGAAGAAAATTCAGAGTTGTCCATGGATTCCACAAAGGTCTATCTGCTAGTTGATGAAGCTCCTGAAAAAGGAGAGGGCGATTTGCTCTCAACCAGGTCCACTCCCAGTTTATGCCAGTGATATCTGATAAGTCTCACCATTCTCAGGCCAGTGAAAGCCACAGGAATGGAGTGTCATGACACAGAGGTATCATGCTACCCCAGTTGAGGTACAGGTGGAATTGGGCACCCAGTCAGGTGTGATTTTCTTACCACAAGATAGGACTTATGGATAGGATAGGAATATTTAAGTTAGGATACAGTGTGACTGACTAATCCATCCATAGGTGGCTAGGCTATTTTCTTTGTGGCTTTTCCCAACCCATTTGTTCTTTGCCTTCATCTGGGACAGAGCTTGTTCTTACATGTCTTCAGTGAACTCTTTTTGTATGTTGAGGCAAAAAATCCCAGCTGCATATATATGCTGAAGGAATCTGAGCTAGTGGTTACTGACAAAGAAGAGATCGTGAAGTTGATGGGCAGTTCAGTGAAGACCTTGACCAACTCTGTGGCAGCTGTTGGGCATACTTAGAAAAGGAATTGAAATAAAACTGCTAATATCACACTGTTCTTATACAAATCTGTGGTGCAGCCACTTAGAATACATTGCATATTTCTGGTCGCTGCATTAAAAAAGGATATTATAGGGCTGGAAAAAGTGCATAAAGGGCAACTAATATAATTGGGGTTGCAGCATCTCCGCTATCAGGAAAGTCTACAAGATTCAGGACTAGATTACAGAAAGGTGAGGTAGAGGAAACATAATAGAAATGTACAAAATTATGCAAAGCAGAAAGGGAGACATTTGTCTCTCTCTCATAATAATATCCCATGAAATTGAATGGTAGGAGATTCAGGGCAAATGAAAATAAATGTTTCTTCACACAGTGCATAGTTAAACTATGGAATTTACTTCCACAAGGTGAAGTGATGACCACCAATATGGATGGCTTTGAAAGGGCATTGGACAAATTCATGTAAGATAAGGCTATAAGTAGCTATAATTCCTGATAGCCATATGCTACCTCCAGTTTGGGAAACAGCATACCTGTGTATACCAGCTGGTAGATAACATGAATCAACAGTGTTGCTGCATTTATGATGCCTTGTTTTTGGGGTATGGAAAGCTGGTTGGCACCTGTGTGAATAGAATGCTGAACTAGATGGACCAGAATGGCTCTTATGTTCTTGTGTTCTCTGTCCTCCTAATTCTCTCAATATTTTTCAGTTTCTTACTTTAGTAAACCTTAGAGCGTTTACTTTCTTTATATCTTTCTCTCCTTCTCTTAAAAACAGACACACACACAGTTTTCTTGTTTTTCTGTTTCTTCACCACAAGATGACCCCCTCTAACAAGGAGAGCTTCAAGCGTGAAATAGAGGAAGAACAGTTGGTAATATATATCAGAGTCATCCAGATCCACATCATTGTTCACAAGGATTGACACTTGTTCAGAATAGAGGAGTTGCCAGCCACCGCTGCATTTGATTATGGAAGACCCGTAGCTTACAAACATAGCTGATTCCCATGCACTACTAAAACTGTTATTAAAGCAGCTGATAATCTTGCAGCATGACAGAGCTGGTTCAGAGCAAAACCACTGTGGAACTAGAAGACATGGGATTGCTTGTCTTCAGATTTCTTGCTTTGGCTAGAATTTGCAAGGGCATGTAAGCAATTTGGCAAGGGGTGGGGGCTTGGACAAGGAGGAGACAGCAACCCACACATTTGTGTCCTGCAGAGAATCTGTTTTGTTTTCCTAGGAGTTTGCATTTTGCAGCATATGCAGCCATTCCTACAGGATGATATGAGACCACAACAGGTCCTCCCCCTTACTCGTTCCTCTTTCATGATCCATTTGGCTAAACATTTGCTGTACAAATTCTGGATATTTCTTGTACAAGTTCTGGATCTCATGATATTCTGCTTAGGGTTCATGTCATGGGGTAGATTATATTCCATATCCCTTCAATGGTTGCTCCTCCCTTTTCCTCTGATAGAAGGTACAAATGCCACATCAGAGTCACTCTAAACATCCACTCAATCTGAACATCTCTTCTCTGGCATAGAACACCACAAGGCACCTCCAGGGGTGTACCAATCCAGAGATTCCATGACACAGTTGTGGCCACAGAAGCCAGCCTGCAGGAGTGGAGATTCATTCTCAAGGCCACCCCATTCTCAGTCTCTGGTCTCCCAGGGTAGAACATCACAGTATAAACTGGTTGAAGCTACAAGCAACTCACCTTATTATAAAACACCTTTTTTAACATGCTATATATGGGTTCTTTGCAGGCAACCTGTGGCACTTTTACTGTGTTCAAAGTATGCCACAAACCTGTAGATGCCCCAAATGGCTGGCTAGAGGAAAATGCAGCAGAGATCACCAGCACTCCTCCTGTCATTAGATGCATATGCATCTGCCATGGGGGCAATATAATTGTACCTTCCTAGCCTTGACATCTGTCAGGAGAGTTTCAGAGTTATCATCTGTCTCAATTGGAGATAACCTCTGCACATTCCACAAGCTTCTTTGGCTTTTATTTATTTATTTATTTATTTTTCTGATACCTGCAACTGGAAGTAGGTTGCTCCTTCTCACAGAGAGGCACTTGTAAGTCTAATCAGCATAGCTCAACTTAACAGAGTGAGTGGTAGGAGCAGCCTTCCAAGAATGTCCTCCATCTACTGCAAAAAAGGAATTTATCACAGTAAGTTGATCATTGTTGATTATTGTTGATAAATAACATGTTGATTATTTATACATGTCCTATGCTTCTGTTGACAGAGCTTTTAATATTGCTTTGTTTATCTTGTTCTTAAGGAATGTGACATTTCATTACAAAAGGAGTAGCCTGAGTTACTTTGGAGGAATTTGTTCTGTGGCTAGAGGTGTTGGAGTAAATGAGGTAATATTTCATTTTTGTCCATATTTCTGCAGTACCTCATTAGGCCAACTAAATATCACAAGCAAGCTTCTGAGATCTCCAAATTTCTTTATCAAACAAAATGTTGCAAAAAGCAGGAAGGGATAGTGGGGACAAAGGAGTAAAAATCCTGATTAGATGATGAGGTCATATTGTTTGCATTTATGGAATCACAAAATGTAATGGGAGAGGAGGGGTCTGCAGTCTTTCACATTAGGCTGCTAGGGTTATGAGATGGATCCACTAAGGCTGCTGGGACAAAGAAAAGGAGCAGTGTTGACTCCTTCATTTTTGAAAATATAAACTCCTACTGTACTCAAAGGTGGATTTCATCCAGGGGAAGGTATATGGACCCCTTTTATTTGCTTCATGTCATGTCATGTTCAGAGAGCCTATGGCTGACTGAATGATATACAAAAACTTTTAATAAGTAGATGGAAGAAATGTCATTTCATTTTATCAGTGGACCAAAGAGAGAAATGAGGCAATCCTCAAATTAACAAGCAGATTAAATTTTAATATTTTTCTAAGTGAAGGGGGAAAAATTTAATGTTTAATTTAATTTAATGTTTTCTGGAATTTTTTTTGGGAAAGGGGGAATTTTGGGTCTTGTCCTATTTTGTGTTTTCTGCTAGTTATTGCAGTTGTCAAATTATGTTTTAAATGTGTTTTAATTGCAGTATAATTTGATTATGTTTTATTGTTTGTATTTTTATTTTGCATGTTTGCTGTATTTTATGTGCCTTTGTAAAGTGCCTAGAGAGCTTTGGCAGTTAGGTGATACAGAAATACTACTGCTAATGAAATAGTTCCCTCATCATATAACTTTCAAAAAAAGTTTCTTACACTTTTTTTCCAATTCTCGTTAATTGATATCTGGAAATATATGAAATACAGTTGTCTGAAGATGATTTGCTCATTTCTTTTAATGTTAATTAAATAGAACACATTTGAATGAAGCTTGCAGACAGCCTTTTCTCCAGTTTAGGTGCATGTAAAATGGTTTTCTATATATTATTGTTCAGCAAAACAACACAGAAGAAAAATTTCACATTGTTGGACTTTTTAGAATCAGTGCATTATAAACAAATTAGCATGCTGTAAGTACAATCTGTTGTGGATATTTGCAAAGCTGTTGACTAGATTTCAGTCAGAAAGTTCAATATCAAGTCTTATACAGTGGTACCTCGGCTCATGAACACCTCAGTTCACGACCAGATTGGGTCGTGAGCATAAATTTCAGAGAAAGATTGCCTCAATTCACGAACTCCAGATTGGGTGACAACCACGATCGCAGCCATGTTGTTGCACGAACACGATCGTAATCATGCCCATCTCCCCCGCATGAGCATGCCCGCGATCACACCCGTCTCCCCCCTCACGAGTGTGCCTGCGATCGCGCCCTTCTCCCCCCTGCATGAGCACACCTGTGATCATACCTGTCTCCCCCCACATGAGCGCGCTCGTGATTGCGCCCATCTTCTCCCCCCCAGCATGGTCGCTATTGCATGATTATGGACTCTCCCTCCAAAAATAACCTCCCCCCCCACCTAGGTTAGTGTTCTCTACTGTACTGTACTTTGTTACTTTGTTTCAAATTTTTGTGATCAAAAAATATTTACAGAATGGATTAACCTTATTTACATTGAACCTTATGGGGAAATTTGACTTGGGTCACAACCAATTTGGATCACGACCAGAGTTCTAGAACGGATTAAGTTCATGAGCCAAGGTACCACTGTACTTGAAACTTAACAATAAAATTACAGATTTAATCCAGTCATGTAAGCTTCGTGTTGGGCTGATTCTACTAGGCAGTGCAATGGTCATTAGTAAAAGGTTTAAAAAAATATTTTGAACCTTTATGTAGAAGAATACTGTACTCATAGATAGGAACTGAAAAATGCTGTGACTGACCTGCGATTCAGTGTCAGATAACCTTAACTAACTTTAACTACCATGGATTAAAAATCATTCATTTATTTATTATTTACACATATTTATAGGCCACCTATAAATGCCAAGGTCTTCTTAGGTGGCTTACAATACATTAAACATATCAAAACATAATAAAGCACATTAAAAACCTATTAAAACATCTATAATACATGGTATTTTGTGAATGAGCTGCTTCCTAATGCTCATACCCCCTTTGTTCCCATTTTGCTTCTCCTGCTAGTAGTACAGGAATTATTTATTCAGCATATTACCCAAACTGGAGTTCCCAGCCTGGTGCCCCATTTATAATCCAGGATCAAAATCAGGTTTCTTGGCTTACTTGGAAGCAATAACTAAAGATGCTTGGTTTGGACAACATATTAAACAAAAACCATTCCTTGTGCTTGCTTGGAGAATATAATTCTTTATTATTGTTAAAGGCTACATGGTTTCTGCACTGTTAATAATAAAACTGGATTCATATATATTCACTTCATTTCCAGAAAAATGTGTTTCTGTCCTCTTCATTGTTCAGGATTCACATGCTAGGAAATTTGTGTATGAAGTCCTGGGCAAGATTTGGAAACAAACTCAATTCAGAGTAGTAAGTCATTTCCACATACATATGCTTTAGGATCCGAGTCAAATTCCAAACAGAATACATAGCAGGGTAAAAGCTTTGCACTAAACATTGCATCTGCAGTAGTTTTTGTTTTTGTTTGCCACTTCAGTCTTCTGGAATCTTTTTTCCTAACAGTATGGACTTCCCTGGGCGATGGCACAAGAATTGTCCCAAAGTCTGGCTCAAAATCTAGGAATACAGTGGGAGCCAGCATCCAGAAAACCAAGTATGTACTTGCTTTGTGTTCTTCTTTTTATATTGCATACAAACTTTGGCATAAATTGAGTTTTTCATAGTGTTTACATGTAGAGCTGGGTTCTTGTGAAAGCATGGAAGTCTTTTCTTTTCACTATCTTCAGTTTCTTCATCATTTTTCTTGTCCTTTTCTGCACTTTTCCCAACTCTATGATATCTATTTTAGATGTGGTGAGCAGAACTGTACACAGTATTCTAAGTGTGATCACACTGTAGATTTTTATAAGAAGAATATGATCTTGGCAGTTGTATTTTCAATTACTTTCCTAATTATGTCTAACATGGAGTTTACCCTTTTTTTACAGCAGCTGCAGACTGGGCTTATATTTTCATCAAGCTGTCCACTACAACCCCAAGATCTCTTTTTGTAACAGTTACCACTAGTTCAGATCCCATCAGCTTATACTTGAAATTGGATAATTTTTTTGCCCAAATGTGCATCAATCTACATTTGCCTATTTATGCATTTGTTTATTATATTTATGGCCCACCTTTTTCCTGTCAATGAACTCAAGGTGGCCTACATAATTCTCCTCCTTCCCTCAATCTTATCCTTTCTACGAAAACACTGTGAGGTAGGTTGGGGTAAAAGTCTGTGACTCTCCTGAAGTCACCCAGTTAGTGCTATGGCTGAGTGGGGACTACCACCCAGATTTCTGAGTCCCACACTCTTAAGACCTATAGCACACTGGCTTTCACACTGCTTACATGTTACTTCAAAATTTTTCAATAAGCAAGAACTTTTCCGAAATGTAAAAAAAATGGATTTGTAATTTTGGAATAATTGATTTGTGATGGGATTAGTTCACTCATTACTAGTTCTAGATAAAACTTTGGTTATCTAATCTGATATTCAGCAATTCAGACATAAGGAACAAAAATGTTTGTTTTTCTACCTTCTCTCTTTCATGGGGCATTTAAAATATGTGAGCGAGAAAAATAACTACATTCTTTCTTTGTTAATTTTTTTCTTTTTTCCTTCTGTTGCAGAAGGATGTGACTGCACAGAATCGTGGGGTGGATGCATAATGGAGGAAACAGGGTATGCAATAACAGTTAATAGCTTGGTATTATAAACTTATGTCCTGATTGCTCAAAACAAATTAAGAGGCCAGTATTTACATCCATTGCTGGAATGTGTGTAGTATTGCAAGAAACATTTAACACTATTAAGATAATAGTATGGGCAAAATCCTACGTGGTCCTTCCACCCTTTCTGATTCTTTGAATCCCAACCAATTCCATTGCACAAGTTACCCCTGCAGTTTGAGCAACAGCAGTTTGGTGCTTTAGTGCAACCCAAAAGGAGTAGAAGTGTTTATTTCTATAGGGAGTTAGGTTAGCGGAGTTCTCCCAAACAGCCTCTTTCCAAAAAATAAACATTTTCATTTATATGGGGGATTCCCAGAGAAAGTGTTAAAGCTCTCTTGCATAAGTGTTGGGTGCTGCTTGTATAACAGAACTGGTGAGACCCTCTGCTTGCAGATGAGGATGAACAGGGCAAAAAGGAATTGGTGTGACCATAATTACCCTGTTGAATTCTGTCCAGAGTTTCCATTTCTTGGTACAAATCAGTGCACGTGTCAGCTGTAGTTTAAAGTAGAATTTTTTATTCTTGTAAAAAGCTGCATAGTACAATAGTATGTATTCTAATTTCTTTGTTGTTCTAGAAGCACCTTCACTTTAGTAGTGGACATACATCTTCATGCATACAACACATCATAATGATTTTTTGGTAAAGCTTTAAGTTGAAATAGTTCAGTTCTGAGAAGCTGATAAGAATATATGCCCTAGTCTTCTTCCAATTATCTCTACAGTAAAACCTTGGATTGCGAGTAACTTGGTCAGTGAGTGTTTTGCAAGACAATCAAAAAGTTTTTCTAAAGTTTTTAACTTGATGAACGAGAGATGTCTTGCAGTACGAGTATTAAGCGTGCTTTGCCTGCTGAGTGTCACGTCACAACTGAGCACCAGTTCTTCTCTCTCTTGCTGCGGGTGAGTACAGCATCATCTACCCGCACCCCAAGCGCACCCGCAATCGAGCCTGCCTCCCCCCCCCAGCATGCCCACTTCAAATTTTTGTGATTAAAAAAAGAAAGTTACAGACCGGATTAACCTTATTTACATTGAACCTTATGGGGAAATTCACTTTGATATACAAGTGCTTTGGATTACAAGCATGTTTCTGGAGCGAATTATGCTCACAATCTGTCGTGCCTGACGGCTTGTCAGAGACGTCAACTCGCGAGAAAGAGTCAAACGTTCAAAATGAGGATCAGACATTAGAACAAGATGACCTGTACTTGGGGCCCAGCAGCCAAACAGCCCCTTCGTAGCCTGACTCTGGGACTGCTAAGCAAATAGCCTTTTCACGGCCTGATCATGAGGCTCCTGAATGGGAGGCTTCTCCTCATCCTGACTCCGAGGTACGTGAGCAAGTTACCCCCCCCCGCCCGCCTCCTTACTCTGAAACTGCTGGGCAGAGTCCAGGAGATACAGAACACGTGACATCTTTAGCCAACGCCAGTCTTAGAAGAAGTCTAAGACTATTGGAACAAGTGAGAAGACAGGACAGAAGTTCGTCCCGCCTACGAGCGGAAAGACGTGACAGGAAAAGCTAATCCCACGTGGGCTTCCCAGAGACTTCACAAAGGGGGAGCAACTGACCTATTAAGACCTTCTCATTAGAGCTTATCTGTTACATCGTAAATCTTGTAGAAAGTAGCAATAAAAGACTTTAGTTTTATAGCCAACTGCTGTGTGAGTTAATTGGGGACGTGAGTTACGACCTCATGACAGCTTGCTCCCCCCTTTGTCCACGCTCCAGCCCAAACAGGAACGTTGATTCTCATACAGCCAGGCGAAGATTTTTTTCCTTTCCTCTTTCTCCCTTTGGAGCATCACAATTATGGATCCAACAGCCCAGGTTCCACCAGAGGTCCAGAATCTGTGAGATGAAAATGCACTTCTGAAGAACAAATATACAGAAGTTACTCAATGGATAGACGCCTTGTGTGCTGAGATTGATAAACTTCAAGCCACTCAGCCAACGGCTGCGGAAACTCCTCCACAAATGCAACAGTTGAAATTGAGACGCTGCCCGGTTGAGCCTCCCCTGAAGTACGATGGGAGAAAAGAAGGATTTACAACTTTCAAAGCACAATGTGAGCTCTACATGCATCTTTGCCAAAACGACTTCCCTGATGAGAAGACCAAGGTAGGCTTCTTAATTAATCAACTCACCGGCACTGTGGCTCGTTGGGCGACAGCAAAACGGATAGCCCAGGACCCCATTTTGAATTACACCACTGCCTTCCTCGATGCCTTGGAAAAGTTCCTAGGCATGGCATCTTGCAAAGAAATGGCCATTTGTGAGATTAAACGCTTAATGGCAGGGAACAGGCTCTGCTACATATTATACAACCAAATTCCAACTCTTAATGAATGACTTGGGGTGGAATGAAGAAGCCCTAATGGTGCAGTACAGGAAGGGCCTGAGGGAGGAGATTCTGGATGATTTGGCTCGTGCTCCTATGCCAGAGATTTTGCAACAGTTAATGCTTGTGACCATACAGCTTGATGCATGGCTGACCGAGTGGGCACAAGAAAGGCAGAAGCGCCACCCTGGCCAGATGCCAGCCAAAGAAAAATGGTTCCTGCGCATAGAAGCCAGGCCCCGCCAATTCCCGCCTGATTACTACGTTGCCGAGGCAACGGCTCGGCCAGAGCCAGAGCCTGAGCCAATGCAGCTGGGAGCTGCCAGGCCTCACATTCCAAGAGGGGAAAGTGATTATCGCCGTCCGGCTGGACCATGTTTTGTTTGTGGACAGATAGGCCATTTGGCCAGATTTTGCTCTTTGAAAAAGCAGGTGGGAAACTCCCAGTCCCAGCGTCGTTAAACACCGCGACACTGGGACCTATTGAACGACTTCAAGGGTGCCTCTCCCCCACAAGATCTTCTCTGGCTCGACACCTACTGATTGATGCCACTCTACAGGCACACCCACATCCTGCGATACGAGCGACAGCACTGATTGATAGAGGTGCCACTGCTTCCTTTTTGGATGAGAAATTTGCTGAAAAACACTCCTTTCCTACTTCCTTGCTGCCAGCTCCGCTTCAAGTGGACTCAATCCAGAAGTGCCCCCTACAGGGAGGCCCTTCCTCCTGCCAGTCCTCCCCACTCACCCTACAGATTGGCAAGCACCACGAACAGACTGCTTTCTTGTTGGTAAAGGACTTACAATACCCTTGGAACTTGGCATGGACTGGTTAGTCAAACACAAACCCCAAATAGCATGGGACTCTGGCCAGATAACGAAACGAAACCTGATCCTGCTCCTATCCTCCAGCCAGAAATGATTGCCGCGACCACCACCTCCACCTTCGCCGGGCCCAACAGGCTGACCCTTTCATCCAAACCAAGAGGGAAGAAATGAGGACCAACACCCTACCTGCCACCTACTCCTTCGAGGACGATATCTTGCTCTACAACCAAGTCCCGTATGTACCATTGCCACTCAGAGAACGGGTACTGCAGCAATGCCACGATTCTCCATCTGCAGGACATTTTGGTGTGTAGAAAATGTTACATACACTTTCTGGAGACTTTTGGTGGCCTTGCCTGAGCTACTACATCAAATCTTACATTCTCTCCTGCCCCACATGCCAACAGCCCAAACGCCAACCTAGAAAACCCCCAGGTTTACTCCAACTGTTGGAATCCCCTCCTGGCCCCTGGCACACCGTTTCCCTTGACTTCATCACGGATTTACCCCCGTCGAGCGGATTCACCACCATATTGGTCATCACAGACTTATTCACCAAAATGGCTCACTTCATCCCCTGCACGGGGCTCCCTTCAGCCAAGAGCACCGCCTCTCTGTTTGTGCATCATATTTATAAAGCACATGGGTGGCCCCTTGCATTAATAACTGATCGGGGCAGTCAGTTCACCTCGCGGTTCTGGCGAGAACTTCTGTCCATACTCAGAGTTGACCTGCGCTTTTCTTTGGCTCATCACCTGCAAACTGACGGCCAAACAGAACGTCTAAACACAACTCTCGAGCAGTACCTTCGCTGTTATGTGAACTATCAACAAGATGATTGGCTCTCCTTTCTCCCGTTGGCAGAGTTTGCTTACAACAATTCCGTCCATGCCTCTACCCAACAAACGCCCTTCTATGCAAACCTGGGTTACCATCCTCGAGCATTTCCCTCCGCATTGCCGATGACTTCTGTCCCTGCCGCTGGGAATTTCCTGCATGACTTGGCTTCAGTACAATCCGTGCTCAAGCAACAACTGGATAGGGCCAAAGCAGCCTACAAAGAAGTTGCAGACCGACATAGACAGCCTGGAACTCCCCTCCACGTGGGTGACTGGGTCTGGCTGTCCACCGAATTTCTCCCCCTTTTGGTGCCTTCTCGCAAATTGGCCCACAAATGTGCAGGGCCTTTTCGAATTGTTTCTCAAACCCTGTAGCCTTTCGCTTGGCTTTACCTCCCTCTATGAAAATACACCCGGTTTTTCATTGGGCGCTGCTTTCCCCAGCCCCCCAATTGCACCCCCTCCGCTCTCAACTTCACTCGCCCCTGCCCATGTTGGTGGATGGAGAAGAAGAATTCAAAATTGAAGAGATCCTTGACTCTAGATTCCAGAGGGGGCACCTGCAGTATCTAGTGCACTGGAAGGGCTACCCCCCAGAAGACCACAGTTGGGAGCCCCTTGCCCACATTCATGCACCCATTCTCCTGAGACGGTTCCATGCTCGTTTCCCGCACAAACCAGGTGGCACACATCTCGGGCATCGCCGGGGGAGGGGAGGTTGTGGGGGGGGTAGTGTCATGCCAACTCACGAGAAAGAGTCAAACGTTCAAAATGAGGATCAGACATTAGAACAAGATGACCTGTACTTGGGGCCCAGCAGCCAAACAGCCCCTTCGTAGCCTGACTCTGGGACTGCTAAGCAAATAGCCCCTCCACACCCTGACTCTTTGCCTGCTGAACAAATAGCCTTGTCACGGCCTGATCATGAGGCTCCT